GAGAACTAAGTAGATGAACTTGCGACTTGAGTAAGGCTTGATAGCGAATACCACGTGAACCATTTAGAGTATTTACGTTTCCTTTGCCACTTCGATTCAAATAGCGATTTTAAAGTTTTACAAGCGAATCTAAGTTTTACAAATATTTTACTTATATCCTTTGGTTTCAATGTCCTCTTTTCACTACCAAAACCATATTTATATTTTGTACTAGTACGTATTCGAATTTTCTTGGAATCACTTAAATCTTTAATAGTTGAAGCATAATGTGTTCTTTGATTATATTAAGGTTCATCGGTGACTGACGGTGTTATCCGGCAAGATATTTTGGATATTATTTTGCGTAAATAGGTGAGTGTTCCTTGTTTGTTATACTCCCCTTAACTTCATGGCTTGTTGTAATTGTTAATAATGTGTTAAGTGCTCTTAATGATTGCCAAAATGAGTTTTCTAGGCGAGTGTGTACTTTATCGCACTCGACCTAAATGAATGTGAAATTTTCAATGATTGAAAGATTAGTTGTGCATGAATGTAAGCCTTTTCGGCTGAACTGGGCCCTGCCCCTTGTTACCGATCGACTCGAGCCAGAAGCGGAATCGGTCGGGCGATTTGGTGATCTGGGTGAACGTTTGGTATACTCGAGTATTACCTTGAAGTCTGGTGGAGCCCGGCCAACGTCCGGGAAGGGGGTAAATAAAATGAATGAACGAATGTTAATGCAAATGAGGGGTTTTATTGACAAAAATGCAATTTTTAAATGATTGGAGGAATAAGGGAATGAAAGGAGAATAATTGAACGAATGAATGAATGAAGGGCTCCTACTGAGCACATATCCTTTTAATGAATGTGTTACCGCTTTATATTGAAAATGCTACTTGGATTATTGGTTATTTATGTGTAATGAATGGAGTTCATTGTTTGATTATGTGATTGGAGCCTCATTGAGCTTTCCAGCTCATTCCTTTAGTTTTGTTTTCCTTAACAGGGGAAGGCGAGCAAAGATGAGAGCTTGGCATAGACTAGATGTATGAAGGATGAGAGCTTTGGCAAGGATGAGAGCTTTGGCACGGCTGGATGTATGAAGAATTGAGAACTTTTGTATTCTCGAGTTGCATTTCTTTTGAGATAGTAATGTATATAAGTTTACGTTTAAGTTTGAAATTGTTATTGCGACTGTTCTTGTGGGTTTTACTTCTTTCTTGAAGTAACTGACTGAGTTCCGGCGAGAGTTGGGCAGGCGGTCCGCCAAACCCTTGGGTTCACCTTAGGGGGAGGTGGGGCTGTCACACAAAGTACACAACTAGGACAAATAAACCTTTACACGAAGCTGCTTTTCACTCCTAGTTCGGTTCTGGAACCAGAGGCACTTTTAGACCGGTCCTAACAGCAAAGAGAACTTGGCAACCTTCACTCCCCTTGAAAGACTTGAAAGATCATAACAGTAGAATTTGAAGCAAAAGTCATTTGGAGAGGTGCAACTGAAGCTAATGCTCAGACATGAAACTGTCATAAACCATGTTCTCCAAGCCTTAATTGAGAATTAAAGAGTTTTAAGTAATTACACCAACACAAAGGGTATTAGCACTTGTGCCAACTGCTTGAAAGATCAATACAACAAAATGACATTTCCAAATACCGCTCCCTAATTAATTTCTATCACTAATTTGTCAATAAACCACTTTATGCTAAGTTTAGTTATCAATTAAGAATGTTTACATAAATTCAATGAAACAAAGGTTGTTATCACTTATATCTACTGTTAATACAACTAAAATAATTGTACATTCCTACAATACCCATTTCTTTTGCAAACAACACTTTATGTGCAATTACCACATAGAAGACTATTTATGCCAAAGCCAAAAACAAAAGTTGTATCAACAATTGTACTCTCCGTTATAACAACACTCCAAACAATCTCACAACCCAAAATGGCCGCTATCCTTATGGTTGAAATCCAAAGATCATTTTTGCCTTAAACTCATTCTTATATATTACTTGCTAGTATTGGTTATGACCAGTATTAATATGACTATTATTAACTATCTACTATTACAATTAAATATTTTATAATGACTATTTACTTTACTATTTATCATTTGTCCTTTTCAACTATTAATTAATTATTTTTACTATTATTATTTACTTTTACTATTATTTAACATACGGGAGTACAATTACTTTTTTTTTACTTTCATTATTTACTATATACTATTTACAATTCAACTTTTTTTTTACTATTTCCTTTTATTGTTATTATTATTACTATTACTATTTAGTATTTACTTTTTTACCTACTTGTATTCTTTACTTTTAATAGAAATTTTGACTATTCTAAATAAGAACATATTAAATATAATTATTAGTGACTGCTTGTATAAAATAGTAACATTATAATGTAAAAAACTTGTAAATCCTAAACATATATCGAACTGATTAAATGTAATTCAACGTAACATATCGTACTTGTTACCTCTTAGCAATTTGATGTGATAGCTGTCCACCAATTTCAACCTGAGCAAAGGCTTTGTTTGACCGATACAGAAAATCAATGCGCATAAACCATCTACGATTTCCTTTTTCCCGTTATAACAAACCATAAACCAACAATCGGCTGCACAATGAGAAAGCACAAATGCAATACCACAATGCCAGTTGTTCTTCGATAGAAAATCTAAAAGCACAACTGCGACGACACAATGGGAATGGACAAATGTAAGACCACAATTGCAGGAGCTTTTCGATAGAAAATCCTAGCAATGGAACAAAGAAATTGGGAAGACTCAGAAAGGAAGAAAGAAGTTGGAGAGACCAAAGTATAAAGATGCAAATGGAGATCTAGTCGGTGATATATTTGTAGCGAAACATTTTGAATCGTTATTATCGACTTTATCCATCCGTCGATCAATATTTAATCAATGGCCAAAAAAACTATTGGTGGGCATGGTTGGGTGGGGCTAAACATGCGACATCCGAATTTAAACAAAAAAAAAAAAAACTTAGCACCGTTGATCCACTTTTATCAATGGTGCGAAGAATTTTGCCAGATGCTGCAATTTTTTTTTGTTTTTAAAGTTTGCACCGTTGCACTTGTGATCAACGGTGCTCAAATGAAGCCGCATCTATTATTGGATGCAAAGTTTGATTTTTTATTTTAAAAGAAGCTTTGCACCATTGATCACAAGTTGATCACCGTTGATCAAGTATGTGATCAAGTATAGCCGCATCCATTGTTGGATGCCGCGTTTGAAATTTTATTTTATTTTTTAAAATAGCTTTGCACCATTGATCAACCAAGTTGATCAACAGTGTTCAAGTATAGCCGCATCTATTTTTTTTATTTTTTGTTGTTCTTTGCATTGTCAGTTCAAAAAATTTGAAAATAAATTAACTTTATCTCTACGCTGCAAATTTTATTTGCGACGACTCCTAACAAGCATCAATTCCCCCACAACACCAATTTTGGCATGATCTCTTATTTTCGTAATGTTTACAGAAATTCACCCAATAAAACCCAAGCCCAACAGTATGCACTGTTATGTATATAAGATTTATTCCTTTTAAGTAGTGTCAAAATATTGTTAAATTCTCTAAAAATTCATTAGCCTTGTCAAAATTTTTTAAATTCTCAGAAAAAGTTAAAATAGTTTTGTTCAATTTCTCTAAAGAACAAGGAGTTAAAATGTTTGTGTCAAAAAATTTCAAAAAATCCCTCCCATCTATTTTCCTTCAACCTCTGCCGTCTTCAAAAGAGTTTCACACTTTTTATCTCCTCTCGCAAATCTTTTCCTTCTTCAACCTTTCGTCTTCTTCTCCAAGTGGTGGAAAACCCTGGACCATGAGGTAGTTGCCATTAAACACGTCTGCCTCTCTCTTACCTAAGCAGTATTACCTAAAGAAAGAAAAAGAAACCCATGAAAAGCTTGGTACCCGTCAAAACTTGCTGTCAAGTGACGGTACCTAACAACTTTCCCTCCCTTTGTACTTTCCTTTGTTTTTTCTTATTGAATTCCTGAAAATTATGCTTCAATGATTTTGTCGATTAAATTTGATATATGTGGGTGAATGTTGGTCAAAATGTTTGAAACAGATTTGTGCAAAATGGTTTAAGGCCTTTTGTGCCTACCCTGTTTGATGAAATTCCCAAACAAAAATTCTTGTTTGTGCAATAGCAAAAGCTTGCTCTTTCTATCAACCATGCTCTTTTAACAACACTTGAATGATGTTTTTGGTTTGAGTTTGGATGATTTTCAAAATTGCTTATACGGTCTCATATTTGTGAACCCGTATATAGTTTATAGTTATTGTTGTAAAATGGTATAAATAATAGGTCTAATTGGTTGAATTAAATGAGTTGATGACGAGTGTGTATGGTTCACACTTCAAGTATTCCTATTAAGTTATGGTGATAGATATGTTGCTGACTTTATGTTTGTGAAGGTCAATTGTTCTGCTCTTTGATTAGAATCTATAACTTCTAGGATTGTTGAAACAAATTTGACGTGCATTACTAGATGCTGGAAATCACAAAGCTTGATAGCGAGAGGAAAGCTTTTTCTGACTTTAGTTGTAACTGGAGCCACGTTCTATTGGTCCTTTTTTTTCCTCACTGAAATCAATTTTGTCAAAGTTGACTTCGAAATTGATTTCCCATTTTTGGAGCTCCACTGAACTATCACAAGTTGATTAATTTTTGATAAAAAATGCCAATATCCTGTGAAATAACTAATATTCCTGCAATATTTTTGTTTTTGACACGTGGTTGTATAAATCTAAGGTCATTGAAGAAGAACCTGTAATAAAATTTTTTATGGAGCAATAACCAACTAATGGATCCTTTTGAATCCTGAAGTAGCACACTTGTTTTTCCCCTAGCTACTCTGTTTTTATCTTCTGTATAACACCCTTTTTTTAATTTGTGGTTTTGATTTTGTTTAGGGTTTCTCTCCTTCTTTAACTTATTAACGTCTCAGAGCTCCAACAAAGCTTGAAGAATCAAGTTTCAATGGCAAAACTAGGATTTGCAAGAAAAAGAGGTAAAATTTCCTTTAGTTTGCTTCGTAATGTTTGTTTATACTTATTAATAGGTACATTGTATATAGGATTGAAGAGAGTGAACAGTTCAAAGCCATTTAAGAAGTTCAAAAATCTGAAGCTAAATCCTAGAGCAGAAAAACTTGTACCTAAGCAACCTCTAGAAAATGACTCAGGTGAGCCAGTATTACATTTTAGTTTTCTTTTAAGGATTTTTTTTTTGTTATCAGTGATTTTTTTTGTCTTTTTTAAATGTTCTAGAGGATTGGTCTGATGAAAATTTTGAGGCTGAATTAGAAACCAAAAAAGAAGAAGAAGTAGAAGAGGATATTGTTTTTAACAGAAAGCCAACAATGTATGACAATTTATTGAAGAGGTTGGGATCAAGTAGTCATTACAAATGTGATTAAGCAAAGGTAGTGCTCTGGTGCTACAAAATATGTGTCCCCCTTTTTCTTAATCTGTGAAATATACCCCCTTTTGATTGTGATGGTGAATTATTTACTTCTTGATCGTTTTATGTGTTTAAAATTTGCTGATTGACCATAGTCGATCATTTGGATAATGTCTTGATGATGATATTGGAATTTTCAATGTAGAAAGTGCTGTTTTCATTGCATTGAATGTTTGCTTGAGTTTTATAATGGCCAGTCTGGAAATTAATTCAGTGTACTCTGTGAATAAAGGAATACATGTTATAAGAGTTTGTTATGTATTACATGTTTTTTTTTTATCTGTGTAGTATGTCCCCTTTTGATTTTGCAGATTAATTATTACATATTAATTGTTTAATGCGTTTAAAATTTGCTGATTGAACCTGTGGGACTTTCGTTGGTTTTGAAAGTCTATCATTTGTTATATGTATTGCATGTTTTTATTTTTATCATACCCTCTTTTGATTTTGTGGGTTGATTATTACATATTGATGGTTTGATGCGTTTAAATTTGCTGATTGAACCTATGGGACTTTAGTTGGTTTTGAAAGCCTATCATTTGGAAACTGTGACTTGGATGATTGGCAATTTAATGTAGAAAGTGCTGTTTTGGTATATGTAATGCATCGCTTGAGGTTGCTAATTGTCATTCTGGAAGAATTTGTAATAGTCTTCCTTACCGAGGAGTGTAGTACTACACTGCAAAATCATCTTTCTATCAAGATGAAGGACTCTTAGAGTTTTACAGTGGCTTGTTCTCTTGAGAATATTTTTGTAGATAGGTGCTTATATGATCTTAGATCTAGTGTTAATTTAATGTCTTTCTCAATTTTTAGGATATTGAAGTTTGCCAAACTTATGCCAACAATGGTGATTCTATAACTTATTGATCGTTTGGCGAGATATTCCATTGGTGTTGCAGAACATATATTTATGAAAGTTGGTAAATTTTATCATTTTGCAAATTTTCTTATTTTAGAAATGAAAGAGGATATTAGTATGTCCATAATTCTTGGTAGAGCATTCTTGGTTATAAGAAGGGCTAATATTGATTTGTTAGAAGGAAACCTTACATTAAAAATAGGTAAGGATAAACAAGAGTTTAATGCTTTTTAATCTTTTAAATGTCCTTTGTATGATGAGTCCTCTTTGCATATTGATGTCATTGATTTCTTTTATGGAGAAATGTTCTTCAAATTTGAGTTAGAAAGTATGGCACAGGACTTAGAACTCATGTTTTTAGCAGATCATCACAAGTATCCTTCTTGGATAGTATGAAATTGTACTTTTGATGAAGAAAACTATGAGAGATTTTGAACACACACAGTGCAAGTGAAGTTGATGAACCAATTTATCCATTATAAATACATTTAGTCCTGTATTTGGTTGATGATGTTAAATATAATGCTTATTGGGAGGCGAATCCAATTTTCTGCTTTTTACTTTATCTATTTTTCCTTTGTTTTCTGTTTTTAGGACTAGGTGGTGTTTAGTCAATTAGGATTTTTATTCTTCCTAATTAGGCTTTGGTGGTATTAGCTCCTATTTATAGTATTTCTTGTCTCATTGTTTTGGCAGGATTTCAACTAAAAGTATACTTCATGGATATCTAATGGCAATTTGAATTTTCACATTGGTATTCAATACTAACTTAATATCAGGGGATTTTTACTTTCACTTCTTTCTTTATATTTCCTTGGTTATTTTCAAATCCACATTGGAGGAATTATTTTATTTTTATTTTGTTCCTAAACTGTAATGGCTAGTATTTCAAGGTTATGATTATTGGAGACTTATCTGTAAAAGTTAAATGTCAAGTAGCGTTGTCTTTAGAATGCTTCTTTGGTGAATAATCTTGTATTTTGATAGTTTCTTTTGGTTATTGGTTGACTTTTTTAGGTATTGCAAATATTTAGTCGGCATTTTTCTTGTAAAATTGGGCTTCTCTATATTAATGGGATATAAAGTAGGTTGGTTCTTTTTTTTGGATATTATTTGGACTTAGTTGTGTAATGGCTTATGTGTACTGCTATAGTCAATATCGTCTAGTAACTAGGGGTTTTCATTTGGAAGATATCGAATTTCGTGTCAAACAGCTATTATGGCTATGAGTTTGTTTCTTAAACGATGAAAGTTGAGTAACTAGACTCCTTCATTTGGAAGATGTTGGAGTTCATGTTAAAAGGTTGAACAATTAAGGATTAAGTATATTTCCACCTAGTAAAATTTAAAAAGTTCAAGTGTGGGGGGAAATTGAAAATTTGAAAAAGAGAGAGAAAATATCAAGAAAGAAAAGTAGTATAACTATCGGTTAGCCTGTGAATCCTTGTGTTTAAGTAGATATGTTCGAGATTTTAGTTAATGGTTGGCCATCCTTGTGGGGCTTGCTTACTGAAGTTTTAATATGCTTAACTTGACTAGCCAAACTTGAACAAGTTAATGGTACTAGAAGAAAGCTAGAGGAGAATTTATTGGGTACACTATTGACGGGTTTTTAATATAAGTACAAGTTTAATTCCGAAATATACCCATTTTGACTGCAAGTATACAGGTCAAATTAGTAGTCTAGGGCAAATATCGGGTCGGTCCCACGAGGAACATTGGACAATGACCAGCACTACTAAAGTGTCTCTATTATTTAGACGATCACTGATTAAAAGAAATAAAACTATGGTAAATTTATGCAAGATAATAGTAGATAAAAATTCCTTAGTTATGGTATCCTAACTACTCATGCAAATGCTATTTTTGGATAATTGATTACCACTATCTTGACTAACTATGGCGTAATTTCCTTATGCATGTGAAACCTACTCTCGTAGTGAATCAACTATACTTATAACTAATCCATACATACTCTCGTGGTTATGAAATTAGCTACAAGTTAATTACCTCTATGAAATTACATGAAATGAATCACTAAAGCCACAAAGGTGCACCTCTACTCTCGTGAGTGTACTCCCTATCTTTAGCACTTCTTGAACCAGTGTTAAATCTCACTTTTTATTGCAGAAGCAACACCTTAGATCACAATTAATGGTACTAAGTTAATTATGATTTAAAGAGCTAAAGTGCAAAATAACTTGCTCAAATAATAGCATCAAATAACCAAATAATGAACACTAACAATTATAGAAAGTTCAACCAAACCCAAAGTATAAACTTTAAAGACACATAAAATCCAAAACTTGCATATTAACCATACTTAAGAATCCAATACAAAAGATAAAGAATTGGAGAAGAGATAAACCCCTGTCACATGAGTTTCAACTCTCCCTTCTTCATCTCCATCTTTATCCTAATCTAGGCAAATTACAAGAGTGGATGAGCTATACTGCTCTATTCTAAACTAATCTAACACTCAGAAGATGTAAGAACTATATTTCTGCATTCCTAGGTTTTCTCCTGTCTCTCCTTCATCTTGCAAGTTTGAATGACTATATAAAGATAAAAATGGTCAAGAAATGAGGCTTTACACCTTCCCTTTATAGCTGGTAGTGGTTGTCACATGTCTAGCATTACATGTGACTTATTGGAGGTGAAAACAACTTGTTCACATAGAGAGCAGCATTTTTTTACCACAATCCGGCCAGAAATCCGGTCAAATTCTGGTCGGATTGCTACAGTGACTTTTTGTGCAATTTCTGTTCAATCTTCACTGCTGCTCTGATTTTGCCTCAACTTCAACTGAACCTTTCTTGATGATAGAAGTTGAATTAGCTCTTGATCAAAACATAAAACTTGTATCCCTTTGCGTTAGCTTTCCAAGGCATCAAGAATCATCCAATTTGTAGCTCTGTGGACCGAAAAATGACTGAAAATACCCTTGACTGCTCACTGCCTTTTCTCAGCTTCAACCAATAGAAATTGGCTACTGTAATTTGGCTTTTTGACAGGGAAAACCTTCGAACTGGATTTCAATATCTTCACAAGATTTGTAGATCTATCTCTTATCTTCAAAATGGTTTAAGAATTATCTCAATTCGATCACTGTAGCTCAAGTTATAGTCGAAATACGTAGATGTGTCAAACCTATCAACTTCCTTTTTATCCAAATGAAGTATATTTCCAACTCCTACACAAATTATGGATAAAATGCAAGTAAAAAGTGACATAAACCTCATTTAATCACTTAAGAGCATCTTACACCAATTATAGCCAAAATGATCCATTTTCTTCCTACCATATTGCCAAAGTGACTAAAAATAACATAAAATATCATTCGAATATAGCGTAAATTAGTCGCTTATCAACTCCCCCACACTTAAATCATTGCTTGTTCTCAAGCAATCCACACTTAATCAACTACAATGATTCAAGAGGTGAAACAATATATGTACTTTTTCAAATTTAATTTCTCAAGACTTGGCAAACAATCATTATACAATTGCTCAAATTACACTAATACTTATAATATCAAGTAAAGGAAAGATAATTATGCCCTAAATTCAACAAGTTAGACTTAATCTCTCACCCTAACCTAATTTCACAAGTAAGCAAGTCACATAGTCAATTTATAACTATCCTCTTCCCAAAATCTTTAACTAAGAGGGATTTATTCATACTTGATTTTTTTACTCAAATAGTGAAAATATTTTTTGACGCGAAAATCGACACTTTTAGGTGAAGATTCCCGGTTACTCAATAATTTACATATTCAAGTTGCTATGCATACTCTTAATTCAAGTACCTTTTTACACGAATGTCGATATTTGTAGATGCCAACTCCCGGTTAGTCAGTACATGAATAATTGGAGTAGAACAAGAACTCTTATTCTTCTTTTTTTTTTCTTTTTTTTTTCAAAAGTAAAAGACAATAGATAGATATTCTCTCTTAACAATTACACAAGAATAATCAAAGGAAGAATATAGCTTTTACTGACTATATCAATCACTTACTTGCAAAATTAAGTAAAGAGGAGAAATCTCATTAAACATGTAATTATAAGCATAATTTTCCCTACTTTACCAGATATACTTTCTAAAATGTAAAAATCCTAATTGCAAAATAACCATTTTCAAGTCAAATGAGGACTAAATCTTCCAAAAATACATATAAAATTTCAACAAGTGGAAGAATTAGAGCACTTAAAGTTGGAATAAATTGGTCCTTTTTAATAAAAGTGCAAAATTTTGAAAAGTTTTTGGGCCATAGTGAAATATTGAAAAAGATTTTAGAAAAATTTTGACAGAGTTTTCCTTGTAACTGGACGAAACTCCCTGCCAACAAACCAATTTCAAGAAAATTATCCACATGGCAACATTTTCAAGCACAATTCCAACATTTCTCATGCATTTAAATCCTCAAAATATCATCACATGGCATTAAAATGTAAGTTCAAATATTTCCCTCCCTCACACTTAACTTCACATTGTCCTCAATGTGAGAAAGGAAAAATAAAAAAAAATAAGAGAAAGTAATACTCCCCTAATGAACATGCGCTATCCAAATCCATGGCCAAGTGATGAATTTCCAACTTCATTTAAGAAAGAATAGAGAGTTCAATTAATGCACCCTGAAAAAGGCAAAATCAAAATAAAATAGCTTCTTAAGAATAAAAAGTTGCAACCAACAAGAAGAAAACATGCAAATCAAGGAAAAAAGGAAAAATGTTCAAGGGATAAAAACATGAAATGAGCTAATCTTCGCTAATCAAGTATATGCATTAGTATCCAAAGCAAAGGGAAGCTAATTTCACAAAATAAGCCCACCATCATGAACAAAGAAAGTTCCATTTATGCATTTTGTCATCAATGATCAACTGATCAAGTCCCCTCAAGTACAAAAGTAATCTCAAAATGGAGGTAAACACACCAAGCCAAAATATAAATGATCTTCTTGAGAACTCATGAAATACTAAAAACCATTGAAGCATAAGGATTATAAGTGCATTTATGAATTTCATCAATTAAGATCATCTTCAATTCACCTCTTCTTGTAGAATTACCTAAGAATTCAAGAAATCATTCAACCCAGCACCTTTTCATTCAATAGGTAATCTAAATTACTCACATGAATATCATACTCCCACAAGCTAATTAAAATGCTACCTTGGCCATTTAATATGTAACTTTGTCACCAAATCAAATTAAGCATAAAATTAGCAAAAATTCACCAAATAAATACAATAAATGCATACCACAAGATTTATTTATCACTAACAACCACCAATAGCTTCAATAAGCTCAAATAAATACACCTAACTTCACATATTAAAAATTGCCTAAAAGTAGAAAATAGTCAACCATGGTAAAGTTCAAATGACAAAGTCGGTGAAACTTTGCTACCTCAAAGTGGTTTGGTGATGTTTAGTGATGAACATGATGTGAAAACCCCCAAGAAACTTATTCCAATTTGGCCTCAATTGAGTGATTCAAGAAGGTGTAACCCTAACGAATGGTAAGCTTGAAACCACTTTAGAGTTGTTTTTTTTTTAAAGAATGTGAACTATGAAATGTGACGCCCCCCACTTCTCCCAAGGGCGAACCCAAGGGTATCCGCGGGACGCCTGCCCAACTCTCGCCAGGACTCAAGACAAATCAAATCGAACTTAACGATACATACCAAATACTACGAGTCAAAATAAAGAAAAGTCGCATCCTTAACTAAATATTTAAATCTTACATCATGTTCACAAAAGATACATCAAGTTCCAAAATGCAACCATTAAAAGTCGACTACACATTTACAGCCTCGATTCCAATCAAAAGTATAATCTAGTCGGCTTTACCAAAATCTTCCAATCCAACCTGTTAAGGAAAACAAACTAATAGGATGAGCCAATACTCAGTGAGGCCAAGAAAACACACATGCAAACACATAATCCAAGTAGCGACAACAATTACATTGTAGGTAAGGCTATCAAATTCGAATAATTCACATTTCGAATAGGAAAAATAAACAGAAACAATTCAAGGATACTGTAGCTCTCAGGAGCTAAATTCCACGTAGTCGAGTCGAAGTCTTGATCACATCTCACGTTGACACTCCGTCAACCACATAAGTATCAAATCCGTAGATACACCACTTTTCTTCGAATCCCGTCACCGTTACACCCTCTTACCGGGCCCGCTCATCAAAGTTTTTGATAATACTCGAGTATATCATGACAATACTGCACGAGTAATGCGGAGCAAGATCTCTCCAATAGATCATGCTCTACGAATATCTCATGGTTTGCTAAGCTTATCGACCAAGCCCATGCTGGCTCGATTCGCATAGTTAGCCAACGAGTTTTGGGCGTCCCCCGAATATGAATACGAATACGAATATAAGTCGATGAGCAACGCTCAAATCGACGATTCCAAATAGGAATCACAAATACGGATCACATATACGAATCACATGTAGAAATCACATCCACATTACCATGTACAAGTTGGATACGAATTCACATAGCAAAATTCGAATATAATTTCATTTGAAAGAGAACGAGTGCGATAAAGTACACCCTCGTCTCAAAATTTCAAATTTACATAACGGATAAGAAACAGATAACCACTTAACAACAAGTTCATGCACCTGACACTCACAGTGATTCAAGTAGCGAGTTCAAATGATGGTTTAGGCGTCTCCCGTGAGATCCTCTGGAAGGTCCTCTTGAGCGCCTGAGCATTTAATAGTGAATTATCATTCACACATCCCAATTATCAAGGAAGATTGTGCACTAGTACAATCTGGGGAAATTTCATGAAAATGAACCTCAATTACTAGTAAATCGAGGTTCAAGTAGAGTTTCTTAATGTACAAGAGCAATCGAGTTTTGTTATCTTGGAAATCAAGCATAAACGTTCAAGCATTATCGAAGGAATAAGGAATACTTGAAAAACTCCATTTCCTTGAAATTCAAAAAAATTTCAGTTTTGATACGATATTTTGAAAAAAATCGTATCTCAGATTCACATGTCGAAAATTGGAAAACTTGGTACCGTTGGAAACCTCTTCCAAAGTACTAAAAGTTCTTAGAAGACACTTTTCCATGAATCTAAGTGGAAGGTGTTCAAAAATGAGCTTAAAGTTGCTGTTCCAAATCACCCAGGATTGAGCCGGGGTTGGTTTTTCGCTAACTTTGAAAATTCAGCAGAATTCACTCGTTGCAAACCAGCCCTTGAAATTTGTAGCTCAATTAGAGGTGCAAGTAAGGTTTGGCAGAACAAGCGGATCAAGAATCGGAGTTTCGAGCACCAAGATATGGTAGCTCAAAGTTGGGTAAATTTCAAGACTGTTAACAAATTTCCAGATTTGGTTCCGACTTTGGACCTTTAGTTAAGTGTCGAAACGGACTTGGATTGATACCAAATTTTGCAGTATAATACTCCTATGAAGGGTATCTCTCTATCAAATTTCATGAAAAATACCTTCGGAAAGGTGGTTAATCAATCAACCAAAGTTTGGAAAAATCCTTAAGGCAATCTGTCCAAATCTAAGGTTTCAAAAACGAGGCAGTCGCCGTATTTTGATCATAACTCCCTCAATTTAACTCGGAATTGGGAATGGTTGATAGTGTTAGAAAATACATTCACAGGGCTAAAATTTCACAGAAGAAATCGTTCAAGTTTCAGCATGCAACTGGTTCGAAATTAAGCCTAAAGTTGCAGCATCATCAAATCATTTCGGCAGAACGGAGAAACAGGACAGCCGACTTCAGATGAATGGTGTGGCTCACACACATGAAACCAGAATGTGCACTATACACCGTTGGAAACATGGGAACGTCTAGTTTCAAATGCCGCTAACGGCACTTGATTTCGACGTCGGAGTACGGAGTTATGGACGAAACACGAACACTGGTCTGGTTACGACGGCAACCGTTTTCCCAGATTACTAGCTTTGGAAATAAATTCGTTTGACCCACCAAAACTCAGTATTTTTCAACGAAAATTTGTACACAACTGCTACAACATGTAAACAACATAATCAGGCCATTAAATCTCAGTTTCTGCATTAAAATGACCGAACAGAGCAGGGGTAAAATGGGAACTTTTTGTTTCAAGAGTTCAATAACGTTTCTGGTAACAAAGCACCTTTAATCTACTTCCTTAAGCTCTAATTCAGCAACAAAACCATCATCAAACATCATCACAGCCATCAACCCAAAGTGGGAGTTCATAGAGCCCACGTTTAACAATTTTCCAACAATACAAGCTACTAAAGTGACGATTCTAGCTCAAATGCATAAATCAAACTCCAAAAGACAAGTTTAAGGTGATTGATTACTACCTACTTTGATGGCTGGTTAGGACAGAAGTTTCGGCCCCTTTGAAGCTTGAAGAACCGTGAAAGCTCCTCCCTTTTCCAGCTAAATGTGTTGTCCAAGACTTAGGCTAAGTGGTGCTAAATTTTTAGAAGATTGGTGGTGATTTGCATGAGTTTTGGAAGAAGAAATGTTGAAGGTTTCGGTTGTCCCTTTTGCTGCTGCTATCCGGCCATGAAGCTTTGCAGAAATGAAATGAGATTGCTGGTTCCTTTGCGTACATAAGACGCTTGACGTCTAATATATTAAATACGTCAAATCAATTACAACTAGTGCCCTACGCGCGCGTTTTGTGTTCGATTTCTCTTACGTTTGTTGCACTAGTGCACTAAACCTCTAGGCACTTACATTCATATAAATATTATTCATTCTTAATTGTCCCAAAATAATGGTCCAAAGTCCCTCAATTAAGCGCGCACGTGAAACACGTATTTCTAATTTAGGCGCAATAAAAATTGAAACCTTTGAGAAATTCTTATAACGATTGTACCACTAACTATCACTTCAATATTTAAACCTAAAATTGCCTATTTTAGGACCATTGTATATGTCTTAAATTTTTGAGCTTATTGTACTCCTAATTGGCTAAAGTTTTCAGACACGTTTTCACTTTTTCACTAAACAAGCTTCTAAGAAAATAATTTTTTGAAACGAGACACTTTAAAAATATAACGAACTATAAAACCATATATTTAGGTCTAATAAGGATAGAAAATAATATTCGGGCAAAAATCCAAATAGATAATTAATTGAGCCAAAATTAGGGGTTTAAAAATAATAATTTTACGAGTCCTCACGTGAATTGAGTATTAATTCCTCAATTAACCTTTCTTAATCTATTATTGATCGTTCTTAATTCTCCAATATTAATACACTCTCGATTCAAATATAGTCTCGAAAAACGTGCACTCGTTGTTCCGAACTAAACGAGTTTTCGAAGAGTGAATTTTTCCAACAAAACGCTTTTAAAAATATAAAAGAGGCGTCGTTCCATATAAATGGATTTTAAATGATCGAAATAAATAATTTGGAGAAAAATGAGTAAATAAATATTTAAACAAACTACTAATATTCGATAAAATAAAATAAAAAATTTCGGGTCTCACATCCTCCCCTCCTTAAAAGAATTTCGTCTCGAAATTCACACTTTGGATAATAGTCATACCCCTTAAGAGTCATGCCTTTCAAATTAATCACTAACTTACACCCTCCGATCCATATATCACAATTTCTATTTACCCAATTAGTAGTCAAACTTTGATTCTATCTTATGAATCTAGGTTTTGCAAAAAGTGTGTACGGTACTAGGTCACTGAGAACCTTAGATAGACAAATAAAAGAAAGAATCATACCTCCAATGACTTTAGTAGAATCGGAAACATGTTGATAGCCTAATGCATAAACCCTAGCTGGTGCATTAGATCGACTTCCTCCAACACTAGGCTGCTTAGCGGCTGACTTTTCAGGCCTTTGGGTACTACCGCCTTCTTTTGGTACGGTCGGGCATTTCGATATCTGGTGCTCGGTACTACCACAATACAAGCACTTCCCTTGTTTCCTAAAACAATCATTCTCCGTATGTTGAGCTTGCCACAATAACCACAAACGACTTGGGGAGCCACAGATTGACCACTTGGAGGTGTCCCTCTCGATTGACCTCGTCCATTGCGATCTCCTCTTGATTGAGTCCCTTTTGGCATGTTAGATATCTCCACTCCACCCGTTCCTTTTCCCTTTTTAAAAGGTGGGGCACTCTTATCTGCCTGTCCCGAAGGGTTACTAGAAGTGCTCCTCTTCTTAGCATGAAAGTCTCTAACTTGCAGCCTTGCACTCTCGACTCTCTGTGCTTTTTCTAAAACTTCAGTGAACGTAGAGATTTGGGCTGCAGCCAAACCCTCCTGGATTTCTACATTAAGTCCCTGCACGAACCGTCTAATCCTCCTCCGTTCATTAATCACCAATTCAGGAGCGTACTTAGAAAGTTTAGTGAACTTTCCCTCGTACTCCGCTACACTAAGGGTTCCTTGTTTCAACTTGATGAATTCATCCTCCCTTTTCTCTTGGATTAAGGGCGGAAGAAATTTCTCATTAAATTCCCTTGTGAAATTCTCCCAAGTCCAAGGGGTTTGAGTTCTCTCCCATTTTCCTCTTATCAGATCCCACCAAGCACGGGCTATCCCTCAAATTGGAAAGCAGCGAAATTCACTCGCCTATCTTCAGTGTAGTCTAAAGCAGCGAATATGTTGGTCATCCTTTCTAACCAATTCTCCGCTACCTCAGGATCAGGTTCGCCAAGAAACTTAGGCGGGTTAAATTTTAAGAACCTCTCTAAGGCTCTATCCTCACCTCTTTCCTGACCCCCAGGTTGGTTAAACGGTCCTGGATCCTGTCTATCAGCCAAACGCTCTAGGATATCAGTCATCCTATTAATGGCAGTAGCCACTTGATTACCCTCGATATTTTCTGACCTTGGATCGGTGCAGTTGCCGATCCCTGGTCACCCCTTTGAGGTTGGGCCTGTCTAGTCCCTCGCCCACGACCTCGACCACGGCCTCGACCACCTCTTAGTCCTTCCATGACCTAGGCGTGCCTAGTGCAAGAAATAATAAATTATGCGATGCATAACAAAAGCAGGAACCACTCAAGAAAACATTGGAATTAACAATAATTTACATTAATTAGCATATCAAGTTCATACAATTAGCAAGTCATGGGGTAGTCACAAAAATATAGCACACAGATGCCACAAGAGTACTTTTAATCACATACGACTAAAGTAAAGTCAAGTGCCTCAAAAGTAGGCCACACAGTCATACAAAAAAAATGCAATGACCTCAACACTAGCATCACCCCAACTAAATCTAACTACATCAGTCAAAAGGGGCTAAATTTTTTTTTCTCGTTCATTTCCGACTCATATCAAACAATTGGATCCTATTGAGTTACTTAGGACCATCCATCAATCTTTCTCTGTCTCTCTCTCTCTTAGGCTCAACTACATTCTACTTCTCTCTAGTGAATATTGTCCCACACTCAGTTAAAATATTCTGCGCCAGATGTCTCATTTCTCTTACTATATGAACTGGACATCCGTTGACCTCCTGCACTTGTTCTCACAAAACGTTAGTCCATTCTTGTTCTTCGCAAATGGAGATCTTAAGTTTTTAGCATTGCCCTCAACTCTTAATTACTCGGGTACAAGAATTCGAAATAAGATAATTCACATCTCGAGCTGGCCAGTCCCAAGAGTAAATCACCATATTTAAGATTCCTATCCAACATACATATCTAGTCTTTCCCCAACTATTACGATAAAATATTTATACCTATCACATTCATGATTCACAGCTTACACTCTAAAAGAGTACTTAAGCCTTTACTCATTCATATGATAAGGACCATAATACCATTTGGCCCAATCTCACCCCGCGCAAATACCACGCGAAGCGGCTCTGATTTTTTTTTTTTTTCTACAAGTGGTCACTTAACTTTCAAACCAGTCCCACAGTCCGGCATCCTAAACTTCAAACTTAGAATACACTACAAAGATCTGAAGCCTAAGCTCTGATACCAACTGTGACGCCCCCCACTTCTCCCAAGGGCGAACCCAAGGGTATCCGCGGGACGCCTGCCCAACTCTAGCCAGGACTCAAGACAAATCAAATCGAACTTAACGATACATACCAAATACTACGAGTCAAAATAAAGAAAAGTCGCTTCCTTAACTAAATATTTAAATCTTACATCATGTTCACAAAAGATACATCAAGTTCCAAAATGCAACCATTAAAAGTCGACTACACATTTACAGCCTCGATTCCAATCAAAAGTATAATCTAGTCGGCTTTACCAAAATCTTCCAATCCAACCTGTTAAGGAAAACAAACTAATAGGATGAGCCAATACTCAGTGAGGCCAAGAAAACACACATGCAAACACATAATCCAAGTAGCGACAACAATTACATTGTAGGTAAGGCTATCAAATTCGAATAATTCACATTTCGAATACGAAAAATAAACAGAAACAATTCAAGGATACTGTAGCTCTCAGGAGCTAAATTCCACGTAGTCGAGTCGAAGTCTTGATCACATCTCACGTTGACACTCCGTCAACCACATAAGTATCAAATCCGTAGATACACCACTTTTCTTCGAATCCCGTCACCGTTACACCCCCTTACCGGGCCCGCTCATCAAAGTTTTTGATAATACTCGAGTATATCATGGCAATACTGCACGAGTAATGCCGAGCAAGATCTCTCCAATAGATCATGCTCTACGAATATCTCATGGTTTGCTAAGCTTACCGAGCCCATGCTGGCTCGATTCGCAAAGTTAGCCAACGAGTTTTGGGCGTCCCCCGAATATGAATACGAATACGAATATAAGTCGATGAGCAACGCTCAAATCGACGATTCCAAATAGGAATCACAAATACGGATCACATATACGAATCACATGTAGAAATCACATCCACATTACCATGTACAAGTTGGATACGACTTTGGACCTTTAGTTAAGTGTGTTGAAACGGACTTGGATTGATACCAAATTTTGCAGTATAATACTCCCATATGAAGGGTATCTCTCTATGAAATTTCATTGAAAAATACCCTCGGAAAGGTGGTTAATCAATCAACCAAAGTTTGGAAAAATCCTTAAGGCAATCTGTCCAAATCTAAGATTTTCAAAAACGAGGCAGTCGCCGTATTTTGATCATAACTCCCTCAATTTAACTCGGAATTGGGAATGGTTGATAGTGTTAGAAAATACATTCATAGGGCTAAAATTTCACAGAAGAAATCGTTCCAAGTTTCAGCATGCAACTGGTTCGAAATTAAGCCTAAAGTTGCAGCATCATCAAATCATTTCGCAGAACGGAGAAACAGGACAGCCGACTTCAGATGAATGGTGTGGCTCACACACATGAAACCAGAATGTACACTATACACAGTTAGAAACATGGGAACGTCTAGTTTCAAATGCCGCTAACGGCACTTGATTTCGACGTCGGAGTACGGAGTTATGGACGAAACACGAACACTGGTCTGGTTACGACGGCAACCGTTTTCCCAGATTACTAGCTTTGG